AAAAATTTTAAAGTTGACTAGAGCTTATAGTTTTAGCTAACTAAAGTATCATTTTTGAATGCGTATAATTCAATAAAAATATTATTTGCAGTTTACAACATTCATGACGTCAAAATGTACGCCGAATCTCATCCTCAAGGTTTTATCTTCTACATTTTTTTTCATTTGTCTTGCAATCAAGTACAATTCATTTTGTATTAACGTCGATACTGTAAGTGTGTAAATAAGCATCACTAAAGAAGAAATTTTCAATAAATTAATTATTTTTAAAATGCAAAGAGAAATGATATATAATGATTGACGTGATAGGTGAGGAATTTGATGGAGCAACTTCAGAATGTGTGTAATGAACTAAAAGACAAAAAAGAAATTGCCATAATAGAAAAATACGGAAGTAAAGCAAAACGTTTAACGACTGTACTTATAAGTAAGTGAGGCAATATTTTTTTATTTTTCTCATGCATTCTATAATAAAATAAGTAATTTTTTCAATAAAAAATGAGCAAGTTGAAAACAATTAAATAATTTATATCATTATTTGTGTAAAACTTATAGTATTTGGTATAAGCGGTGAACTTCTTTTTATTTTTCTGCAAATTTGGCCGTATATTCGTCCCATTGTTCTGCCTACAAATAAATCTCAAGTACAACTTCCGATGCCTTTTGCAACAGAATACTTTATCGATGAAGAAAAATACTCCTTTTTAATCACTGCACACAGATATGCAGCTTGTTGCATAGGAGGTATCGCAATGGTAGGGACAGGAACAATGCTTATAACATATCTTCAACATACTTGTGGAATGTTTAGTATCGCCAGGTAAATATAAATGCAAGACATAAAACATACAAAATTCAAATCATAAACAATACCTTGCCTATCATCTTGAGTTTAAATAAACTATACAATTTTTACAATTATTTTTTTGTATACTATTATAGTAGCAATATTATTTATATTTATAGTTATCGCATCGAACAGGCAATGACAGTAGACGTTTTACAAGTGAGAAGTCTAAAAAGCGAGAAACAGATTCATAAGGAAATAATTTATGCCGTTGATATTCATCGCAAAGCTATGGAGTTAGTAGATATTTGATATCACATATTTAATACGTGTATTGACACTCTTTCATATTGTTCAAGGTATACCGAATTTTTGATATCCAGTTTTGAGGGATCATTTTTCTGTTTAATAGCAACTGGCATCATTAGCTTGTCTCTTAATCTCCTTTGGGTAAGTTCAGTTAATATTGGATAAGTTTTTTTGTTAATATACTTCTGAACAAGCTTTAGGACATTTTGTTAGATTAAAATTTGTGCTAAAATATCTACAGATATAAAATAAAAAAAAAAATAGCTTCTCATGTATGATGTATTAATTATTGAGATAATAAAATTGATCAAAAAAAGAAATTCGTAGAGAAAGAAAGCGTGAGGAATAGAGAAATATAGAAAGAGTAGAGAAAAGAGAAAAAAAGATATGAGATAATAATTTCCTCATGATATATCAATTAATCAGAAAGGCATAAAAATGATTATTTGCTCATCTTTTCACTTAATTATAAATTGAGTTCCACAAGATCTGCATTTAACTATTACGATAATATACAAATTAATACATAAACTAAAAAATCCACTAGCTACGTAACACATCTTTACTTGCAGATACAATTTGCAATATGTAAAATATAATGATTAAAATATAAAAAGTTTATGGTAAATATAATGCACGTCTAATAATTTTCAGGTAGCAACGTCTGACGAGAGTATCGAGCAACTTGTATTACCTGTTACAATGATAATAGTTCTCTACGTGTATTTGTTCTTATCCAATCATGCTGCACAGGAAATTACAGAACATAATAATTATCTATTTACTACTGTGTAAGAAACGTTTACACTTTATACAATTACGTGCTCGTTTGGCAAATGTTTGAAAAAATAAGTAAAATAAGTTTTAACATTATCGAAGATAAGAAATTCATAGTTAACGTAGTTCGTAAAACGAGCGTGCGAATGGAATGATTTATTCATTTCTTTGTCTTTCTACAATTATCAATTTGTCATCATTTTTAGATACAATGTTCAGTGGTATGTGGCTCCCTTAAATATACAGAAAATGATATTGTTTTTATTGCAAAGAAGCACTAAAACTTTTTATGTGAATCTCGGTGGAATATTTGTGGCATCGATGGAAAGTGCGGCATCGGTAAGAAATGTTCCGTTAAAATATTTAAAATTATTAGTAAATAAAACAAAACAAGATATGTGTTTCAGCTGATGAGTACTTCAATATCTTATTTTACTGTTCTCTATTCTACACAGCAAGATTAATGATATATAATGGAATAATCAAGATTTTGGTTTTAAGCCGATCATATTTGAACGAATCTTTAGATTAAAGTATGTTTAATGTTATTTAATTGATTATATTATTATTACAGCAAAAACAAAAAAAATATATTTTATTATAGTTGATGAATGCTTCGATGTTTTACCTTACTGTTCTCTATTCTATGGGATGTGTAAAGTGTACTGAAAATAAGGGTCAGTCTTACGTCACTTAAATCGATTGAAGTCAGTTGAACCTCATGCACTAGTAGAAAAAATCAGCCAAGAAATAACAAAGAAAATTATTATTTGAATAAAAAAATTATCCTAATTTGAAGAATTTTAGCACATTATATACAGCAGAAATTTTAAATAATTTTTATATTTTTATATAATTAACTTAAATTCAGAGCTGGAACCTATTGTAAACTAATTCCAATATTTATTAAGAACAGGAACATTAATAATAATAAATTATTTGAGATAAAATATTGACAAAAATCGGGCAAAGATTTAACTAAACTTTTAAAATAGTAAAAATACATGTAAAAAAACAAATGTATATAAAAAATATTTTTATAGTAAAAGATATTTTTAGAGTAAAAGATGTTGCAATATTTACCGGCAACAAATTGATAACAGGTAAAATATGTTCTTATTTCAAGCCGGTATTTTTCTGAAGCCGGTATTTCTCTACCAAACTCACGAGAGTGCACGCACTAAAATAAAACACGCTAAAATGCATTAAATGATGTCAAACGCGCCTGCGTGACATGCCCCTTCATGGTGTCCCTCTATATGAGAAATAAACATCTGTTAAATTTCCGTCGACATTAAATCGATTATTTAATGATATCACCTTCTAAAGAAAAGATATTGAATTGCGAGTGAGTCAATTTCACAAAGACATTTATACAATTACATGATTATATGGTGCGTTTACATTTGGTGACAATCATTATATGGTGTAATATTTCCCATAAAAAACTTCTGCGAGAACCTAAATTCGAAGAAATAGCTGTGGAATATTCATTCGGCTGGAGTTAAAAAAAAGAATAAACAAACCGACTTTATCGTTTGCAAAGAAATGATCTCCAGAAACTATTTACATTTCAATCTGAATCGGATTCTTTTACTTACGGTTGGCCTATGGCCTTATCAACAATCCAAACTCGTTCGACTCCAATTGACAATATTTTTTAGTATTTTAATTACCTTTATTATATTTCAGGTACCTTAATATTTTTAAATGTATAAAAATCTAATAAATAAACTAGCAATCTGTCTCTTTTTTGCAAACGTTGATTTTGCAGTTAAATATTAATCGTTATGGAAAGCCAAAATTATTATTAAAGAATGTTGAATTTAAATATAACTATTACATAGACAGAATTCATTTTATAGTAATTACTCACATTACACAATAGTGTACATACAACTCTTTTAATATATAATTATATAAGATTACACACACACACACACACACACGCGCGAGCGCGCGCAAACACAGCTTTACAGTATAATTGTATTAATAATTAAGACATTTTTTAACCACATAAAACAATAACGATTTCAAAGCAAATTGTTGAATAAAAAATAAAATCTTGTAGCTAACAACATTTCTGACTTCAAAATGTACTATGGATCTTTTCGTCAACGTTATTTCATCTGCATTATTTTTCATCCTCCTTACAATTAAATATTGTTCATTCAGTCTTAATAATAATGTTGTAAGTAGATCGTCTGTTGTGTATCATACTCTTGTTCATTTTCAGTCAATAATTCTGTACGATATAAATATCACAATCATTATTTAATTTACAAAAAAAAAAACAAAATAAAAAATTGTTACAATAATAGGTAAAATATTTGCTAGAACAAATGACATATATTTGTAACCAGCTAACGGACGAAAATGAAATCAATATCATAAAGAGGTACAACAGTTACGGGAAATATTACACCATTGTATTTATGTGTAAGACAACTACTTTCTCTTGTTAGATGCAGAATATTATAATAACATTAATAACATTTAACTAATTTGACAGAAATTCTTCATTAAATATAGTGATTTTGAAATGTCCTTTAGTATTTGCTGTGTTTGTTGGATTCATTTTAATTCTGTACCCATTTTGGCCGCGGATTGCCAATATCCTGTCTATAAATGAAACTCGAACACATGCTGCGCTACCGTTTCTAACCGAGTACTTTGTCGATCAAGATAAATACTTCTATCTGATTATATTGCATACAAACGTAGCTTTTTTTATAGGGGGAGTAGCACTGCTATCAACAGGAACAATACTTCTAGTCTGTCAACAGTATGCTTGCGGAATGTTTCGAATTGCTTGGTAAGAAAATAGATACAAGAATGCAGGTACAAATATATTGATGTTAAGTTTAACAAAATCCCAAATAATTGACTAAAAAATCGCTTAGTTACCGTATCGAGCAAGCAATGATAATTTGTAAATTACGAAAAAATTACGAAAAAAATAGTCTAGGAAACGAGCTTTCGATTTACAAAGGATTGATTTATGCCGTGGATATGCATCGTGAAGCTATGAAGTTGGTATTTATAATATTACATATAAATGCAATATATATATATATAAATACATATATATATATAACAATGTACTTTCTTTCTCTTAAAGATTCTGCAATTCATTGATATCCAAATTTAAAGTAATGTTCTTCTTCTTAATAATAACTGGTGTGCTTTGCGGGACTCTCAGCTTTTTCCAGGTAAGTTAAAGTTTTTTATTTTTAAATGTACTTATGATATGTATTGTGTCAATCAGCAATAAGATTCTTATAACACTGCTATCTTAGTTACTGTCACACTTTTCATAATAATTTATACTTAATTAATTTTGATTAAAGAGCATTGCTAATTTTAATTGAATTAATTGTTAGTATGTTCGTATTTAAGGTTTTTCAGGTAATGACAATTAGATATAATATTCAAGAACTATTGTTAGCATTATTATATGTAATCGTTCTTGCATTATACATGATGATGAGCAATTATGTATCACAAGAAATCATGGATCACAATAATGACGTAATTATTACTGTGTAAGTGAAAAAGTAACGAGATTAATCAAATCCATATATTGGAATAAAATTCAAAATTAATATAATGATAAAAAATAAACAAAAAATACACCCACAAAATGTTTTTTATACATTTTCTTATTTTTTCCGATTTATCAATTGCAATGATTTAGGTACAATGTTCAATGGTATTTAGCACCTTTACATGTACAAAAAATGATATTGTTTCTGTTGCAAAAGGGTACCAAAGCTTTTACTTTAAATCTTGGTACATTGTTTGTAGGATCATTAGAAGGTGCCGCAACGGTAAAAAAAATGTATCCAAATATATGTAACATGACATTTTATGCAAATAAAACAAAAAAAAAATATTTTATTATAGTTGATGAGCACTTCGTTATCATATTTCACTGTTCTTTACTCTACGCAACATTAACATAATATATTAGTAATAAAAAATAACAATAGTGGAAGAATTAAACACAAAGGATAATAGCCATAATTAGATGCAAACCTAATTCAATTATGGATATAATTATAAAAAATGTAAGTATTAAAAAAATGCAATTGCATGGAAAACACATCATGAAATATAATATGTACTTTTACCAGCAATAAATTAATAGCTAATGTGACGATCTGAGCAATTGCCGTTCCTTTGAAGAGCCAACCGTAACATATAAGCGCACGCACTAAAATGAAACACGTTAAAATGCATTGTTAGAAAATGTGAAATACGCCTGCGCGCGTATTCCTTCATGGTGTATTTCTTTATGAGAAATAAACATCTGTTAAATTTCTGTCTACATTAAATCGATTATTTAATGATATCCCCATCCAAAGAAAAAGTATTGAATTGCTAGTGAGTCAATTTCACTGAGACATTTATAACGATACTTAAACGATTATATGGTGCGTTTACATTTACATTAAAATAAAAAACTTCTGTGAGAATCTAAATTCGAAGCAATAGCTGTGGAATCTTCATTCGGCTAGGGTTAAAAAAAAAAAATAAACAAACCGAGTTTATCGTCGTCAGATGTGCGCAAAAAAATGATCTCTAGAAACTATTTACAATTCAGTCTGAATCGGATTTTTTTACTTACGGTTGGCCTATGGCCTTATCAACAATCCAAACTCGTTCGACTCCAATTGACAATATTTTTTAGTATTTTAATTACCTTTATTATATTTCAGGTACCTTAATATTTTTAAATATATAATAATCTAATAAATAAACTAGCAATCTGTCTCTTTTTTGGAAACGTTGATTTTGCGATTAAATATTAATCTTTATGGAACGCCAAAATTAATATTAAAGAATGTATAATTTAAATATCACTATTACATAGACATAATTCATTTTATTGTAATTACTTACATTACACAATGGTGTACACACAACTCATTTAATATATAATTATATTAATATATACACACACATACACTAATACACACATGCGCGCGCGCAAGCGCATCCTTCTCGGTACTATTGTATTAATGATTAAGACATTTTTTGACCAGATACAACAATAACGGTTTCAAAGCAAATTATTGAATAAAAAAAATTAAATCTTGTAGCTAACAACATTTCTGACTTCAAAATGTACTATGGATCTTTTCGCCAACGTTTTTTCATCTGTATTATTATTCACCTTCTTTATAATTAAATATTGTTCATTCAGTCTTAATAATAATGTTGTAAGTAGATCGTCTGTTATGCATACTCTTGTTTATTTTCTGTCAATAATTCTGTACAATATTAATATCACAACGCGCATGTAATTTACGAAAAAAAAACAAAATAAAAAATTGTTACAATAATAGGTAAAATATTTGCTAGAACAAATGACATATATTTGTGACCAGCTAACGGACGAAAATGAAATCAATATCATAAAGAGGTACAACAGTTACGGGAAATATTACACCATTGTATTTATGTGTAAGACAACTACTTTCTCTTGTTAAATACAGAATATTATAATAACATTTATAACATTTAACTAATTTGTCAGAAATTCTTTATTAAATATAGTGATTTTGAAATGTCCTTTAGTATTTGTCGTGTTTATTGGATTTAGTTTAATTTTGTACTTATTTTGGCCGTTCATTGCCAATATCCTGTTGTCCATAAATGAAACTCGAACACATGCTGAGCTACCGCTTCTAACCGAGTACTTTGTCGATCAAGATAAATACTTCTATCTGATTATATTGCATACAACCGCAGCTTCTTTTATAGGTGGAATAGCAATGCTATCCACAGGAACAATACTTCTAGTCTGTCAACAGTATGCTTGCGGAATGTTTCGAATTGCTTGGTAAGAAAATAGATACAAAAACGCATTTGAAAATATATATTGACGTTAAGTTTAATAAAATCCCAAATAATTGACAAAAAAATAACATAGTTACCGTATCGAGCAAGCAATGACAATTTGTAAATTACGAAAAAATTACGAAAAAAAAAGTCTACGAAACGAGCTTTCGATTTACAAAGGATTGATTTATGCCGTGGATATGCATCGTGAAGCTATGAAGTTGGTATTTATAATATTACATATAAGTGCAGTACATATATATATACACATAGATACATATATATATAAAACAATGTACTTTCTTTCTCTTAAAGATTCTGCGATTCATTGATATCCAAATTTAAAGTAATGTTCTTCTTCTTAATAGTAACCAGTGTGCTTTGCACGACTCTCAGCTTTTTCCGGGTAAGTCAAAGTTTTTCATTTTTAAATGTATTTATTATACGTATTGTGTCAATCAGCAACAAGGTTCTTATAACACAGCTAGTTACTGTCAAACCTTTCATTATAATTTATACTAATTAATTTTGATTAATAAGGATTGCTAATTTTAATTGAATTAATTGTTAGTATGTTCGTATTTAAGATTTTTCAGGTAATGTCATTCGGATATAATATTCAAGAACTATTGTTACCATTATTATATGTAATCATTCTTGTAATATACATGGTGATAAGCAATTATGTATCACAAGAAATCATGGATCGCAATAATGATGTAATTATTACTGTGTAAGTGAAAAATTAACGAGATTAATCAAATCCATATATTGGAATAAAATTCAAAATTAATATAATGATAAAAAATAAACAAAAAATATACCCACAAAATGTTTTTTATACGTTTTCTTATTTTTGTTAATTTATCATTTGCAATGATTTAGGTACAATGTTCAATGGTACTTAGCACCTTTACATGTACAAAAAATGATATTGTTTCTGTTGCAAAAGGGTACCAAAGCTTTTACTTTAAATCTTGGTACATTGTTTGTAGGATCATTAGAAAGTGCCGCAATGGTAAAAAAAATGTATTCAAATATATGTAACATAACATTTTATACGAATAGAACAAAAACAGTATTTTATTATAGTTGCTGAGCACTTCATTATCATATTTCACTGTTCTTTACTCTACGCAACATTAACAAAATATATTAGTAGTAAAAAATAACAATAGTGAAAAAATTAGAACAGATAATAGCCATAATTAAATGCAAGTCTAATTCAATTATGGATATAATTTAAAAAAGTGTAAGTATTAAAAAAATGCAAATGCACGGAAAACACATCATTAAATATAATATGTACTTTTATCAGCAATAAATTAATAGCTAATGTGACAATCTGAGCCATTGCCGATTCTTTGAAGAGCCAAACGTAACATATGAGCGCACGCACTACAATGAAACACGTTAAAATGCATTGTTAGAAAATGTGAAATGCGCCTGCGCGACGTGCTATCCCTTCATGGTGTTCTTCTTTATGAGAAATAAACATCTGTTAAATTTCTGTCGACATTAAATCGATTATTTAATGATATCCCCATCCAAAGAAAGGGTATTGAATTGCGAGTGAGTCATATTCACAGAGGCATTTATACAGTTAAACGATTATATGGTGCGTTTACATTTACATTAAAATAAAAAACTTCTATGAGAATCTAAATTCGAAAAAATAGCTGTGGAATCTTCATTCGGCTGGGGTTAAAGGAAAGAATAAGCAAACTGACTTTATCATCGTCAGATGTGCGCAAAGAAATGATCTCCAGAAACTATTTACATTTCAATCTGAATCGAATTCTCTTACTTACGGTTGGCCTATGGCCTTATCAACAATCTAAATTCGTTCGACTCCAACTGACAATATTTTTTAGTATTTTGATCACCATTGTCGTATTTCAGGTATCTTAATATTTTTTAATGTTTAATAATCTAATAAATAAGCTAATAATTTGTCTCTTTTTTGGAAACGTTGATTTTGCGGTTAAATATTAATCCTTATGGAACGCCAAAAATATCATTAAAGAATGTTTAATTTAAATATAATTATTACATAGACATAATTCATTTTATTGTAATTACTCGCATTATACAATGGTCTACACACAACTTATTTAATATATAATTATATAAAATTATACACACACACACACACACATACACGCGCGCGCGCATCCTTCTCGGTACTATTGCATTAATGATAAGGAAATTTTTTAACCAGATACAACAATAACGGTTTCAAAGCAAATTGTTGAATAAAAAAAATTAAATCTTGTAGCTAACAACATTTCTGACTTCAAAATGTACTGTGGATCTTTTCGCCAACGTTTTTTCATCTGTATTATTTTTCACCTTCTTTATAATTAAATATTGTTCATTCAGTCTTAATAATAATGTTGTAAGTAGATCGTCTGTTATGTATCATACTTTTGTTTATTTTCTGTCAATAATTCTTACAATATTAATATCACAACGAGCATGTAATTTACGAAAAAAAAACAAAATAAAAAATTGTTACAATAATAGGTAAAATATTTGCTAGAACAAATGACATATATTTGTAACCAGCTAACGGACGAAAATGAAATCAGTATCATAAAAAGGTACAACAGTTACGGGAAATATTACACCATTGTATTAATGTGTAAGACAACTACTTTCTCTTGTTAAATACAGAATATTATAATAACATTTATAACATTTAACTAATTTGTCAGAAATTCTTCATTAAATATAGTAATTTTGAAATGTCCTTTAGTATTTGCCGTGTTTGTTGGATTCAGTTTAATTCTGTACCCATTTTGGCCGCGCATTTCCAATATCCTGTTGTTTATAAATGAAACTCGAACACATGCTGCGCTACCGCTTGTAACCGAGTACTTTGTCGATCAAGATAGAAACTTCTATCTGATTATATTGCATACAACCGCAGCTACTTTTATAGGTGGAGTAGCAATGCTATCCACAGGAACAATACTTCTAGTCTGTCAACAGTATGCTTGCGGAATGTTTCGAATTGCTTGGTAAGAAAATAGATACAAGAACGCATTTGAAAATATATATTGACGTTAAGTTTAATAAAATCCCAAATAATTGACGAAAAAATAACATAGTTACCGTATCGAGCAAGCAATGACAATTTGTAAATTACGAAAAAATTACGAAAAAAATAATCTAAAAAACGAGTTATTGATTTACAAGGGATTGATTTATGCCGTGGATATGCATCGTGAAGCTATGAAGTTGGTATTCATAATATTACATATAAGTGCAGTACATATATATACAGAGTACATATATATACATACATATATATACATATATATATAGAACAATGTACTTTCTTTCTCTTAAAGATTCTCCAATTCAATGATATCCAAATTTAAAGTAATGTTCTTCTTCTTAATAGCAGCCGGTGTACTTTGTGGGAGTTTCAGCCTTTTCCGGGTAAGTTAAAGTTTTCCATTTTTAAATGTACTCATAATATGTATTGTATCAATCAGCAACAAGGTTCTTATAACACAGTTAGTTACTGTCAAATTAGCATTATAATTTATACTAACTAATTTTGATTTTGACCATTGTCAGTTTTATTTAAAATTGTTAGTATGTTCGTATCTAAGATTTTTCAGGTAATATCATTTGGATATAATATTCAAGAACTGTCGTTACCATTATTATATGTAATCGTTCTTGTAGTATACATGATGATAAGCAACTATGTATCACAAGAAATCATGGATCACAATAATGATGTAATTATTACTGTGTAAGTAAAAAATTAACAAAATATAATCACGTCCTCTAAATGTTTTTTATATATTTTCTTATTTTTGTCGATTTATCATTTGCAATGGTTTAGGTACAATGTTCAATGGTATTTAGCACCTTTACATGTACAAAAAATGATATTGTTTCTGTTGCAAAAAGGTACCAAAACTTTTACTTTGAATCTTGGTACATTGTTTGTAGGATCATTGGAAAGTGCCGCATCGGTAAAAAAAATATCCATTGTATCCAAATATATGTAATATAACAAATGTGCAAATAAAAAATAAAAATTTATTATAGTTGCTGAGCACTTCAATATCATATTTCACTGTTCTTTATTCTACGCAACATTAACATAATATATTAATAGTAAAAAATAACAATAGTGAAAAAATTAGATACAAAAGAAGATAGCCATAATTAGATGCAAATCTAATTCAATTATGGATATAATTATAAAAAATGTAAGTATAAAAAAAATGCAAAAGTACAGAAAACACATCGCAAAATATAATATAATATGTATTTTTACCAGCAATAAATTAATAGCTAATGTGACGTTCTGAGCAATTGCCGTTCCTTTGAAGAGCCAAACGTAACATATGAGCGCACGAACTAAAATGAAACACGTTAAAATGCATTGTTGAAAAATATGAAATACGCATGCGTGGCGTGCTATCTCTTCATAGAGTTTTCCTCCATGAGAAATAAACACCTGTTAAATGTATATCGGCGCCGAATCGATCGTTTAACCGTACTATTCTTTTCAAAAAAAAGGTATTAAATTGCAAATAGCTCGAGAAATGTTTTATTTTGTGCGTTACACTTATATTAAATTAAGCAATTTTTGCTGAAACTTAAATAAGAAAAACATACGTATAGAATATTCACTGGTCTACGCATAGAAAAGAACAAGCGAACCGTCAGATGTATCTCGATGTGTATAGGGAGATGATCTGCATAAAACCTTCACATGTCAGCCTCCAAGTTCTATTACTTATCGTTGGTCTATGGCCATTTCAGCAAACCAAATTTGTTCAACTTCAGTTGATAATATTTTTTAGTATTCTTATCACTTTTATTATATTTCAAGTATGTCAATGTTATATTTTAAATATTGGATTATAAGCTGTGTTGAGCATACGTGAACTTTTTATTATATGGATCGGAAAACTACTACGGATTATTACTTCCTGTTTTGTTTTTGTACATAACGTATTCATTTTTTTCATTTTATTAATAAATACAATACTGGAATTGTTGTTCAATGAATATATGTATTCTTGTACGCAATGTCATGAACTCTTGTTAATGTGAGTTGCGCTTTTAGGTGTTCACACAAACGCTTAAATAATTTCATTTTTGAATGAATCCAGATTTTGTTCATTTGCATCATAAACTTTTAGCAAAAATTCAATTTCAAGTTTTACTTCATAAATCATTGCGGAAAAAAACAGCTGTGCTTACGGGGTCAAAACTTGAATATAGAGGTTATTCATAAAATATATAATTTTCAAAACATTTACTCTATTGCTGTATTGCTGTATGCATTATATACAAAAATAAGAAGAAATAGTAATCTATAGCAATTTATCGATGTAAACAATAAATACTTGTATATATGTATCCAAAAAAATTACAAAAAATTATTTCTATTAAAAATAAAACCAAGTACAAAAAAATTTGATTTCACAATTTCAACTTATATTTTAACAAAAAATCGCCTATGATACTCATATATCATGATTATCGCCGCCATTCATTTAAAATTATAATGATTCTTACAGATTTTTTAAGAAATTATTATATTACCGACTTAGAACTTTTTTTATACTTTACACTAATTTAGAACCTTTTTAAAACTACAGTTGAAATGTAAATTATTAAATAAAATTATATCTTGTAGCTGACAACATTTGTGACTTTCAAATGCACTACGGATCTTATCATCAACGTTATCTCATCTGTATTATTTTACACCACCTTTATGATCAAATACGGTTCATTCATAAGTAATAATGATATTGTAAGTAGTCCATCGATCGTGTATCACATTCTTGTTCATTTTCGGTTAATAAACCTGTGCAATATAAATGGAATTTTTTTCAAATTTTACAAAAAGAAACGATATAGAATATTGTTAAAACGATAGGTAAAATGTCTGTTAGAGCAATTGCAACGCACTTGTAACCAACTAACAGACGAGAATGAAATCAATATCATAAAGAAGTATAACACATATACGAAATGTTACACAACTTTATGCACGCGTAAGTTAATATCTTTGCTTTAGACACGAAACGTCTTTTGTGTCTTATAATTAAAACTAATTACCAAATTAGTCGTAAATCATTAATTAAATGTATGTTGATTTTGAAACGTTCCTCAGTGCTTATTATAATGGTCGGATTCGTTTTAATTTCATACCTATTTTGGCCGTGTATTCTCGATATCCTATTGCCCACGAACGAATCTCGATCACATCCTTCGTTCTTACTAGTGACCGAGTATTTTGTCGATCAAGAAAAATATTTCTATCTAATTATGTTGCATGCCATCGCAGCTTCATGCATAGGGGGAACAGTAATGCTAGCAACAGGAATGGTACTCCTAGCCTGTCAACATCAGGCCTGCGGAATGTTTCGAATTGCAAGGTAAGAAAGATAGACGTGCAAGAACACACATCTATAAACATATCAAAATATTAAATTAGTCAAAAATTGTGTAACTACGACTGAAATATCGCTTGCAGTTACCGTGTTGAGCAAGCGATGACAGTTTGTAATTCAAGAAAAAACTGCTTAAAAAGCCACAATTTAATTTATAAGGGATTAATTTATGCCGTCGATATGCATCGTAAAGCTATGAAGTTGGTATTTACAATATTACATGTAAAATATATATAAAATAATATATTTTCTTCCTCTTGAAGATTCTCGCAGTTATCGACATCCAGATTTGAGGTAATGCTCTTGTTATTAATATCGATCGGTGTAATTTGCGCCAGCCTTAATTTTTATCGGGTAAGTTCTGTCTAATATCTTTCTTAATTGTATTTAAAATCATAGTGTAGGTCAGGAACAAAGTGTTTTATAACATCTCTATTTAAATTCCAATTTTTAACTGCCATTTTAAACTGCCAATTTTTAAACTAATTAATTTTTATTGACAATAATAGTGAACTTAAATTGAGATTGTTAATGCTTGCGTACTTCAGATTTTTCATGCAGTATTATTTGGATTTAATATCGAAGAACTAGTCATGCCGGTTCTATTTGTAGCCGCCCACTTTGTGTATCTTATGATAGGCAGTTATTGCGCACAAGAAATTATGGAACATAATAATGACGTTTTTATTACTGTGTAAGAAGAAACTTTTACGTAATATAATCATATCCACGTAACATGCTCTTTGATATAAAAATCAAAACTAATTTGATTCAAAAAGTAAACATAACGTTATAAATTTTTATATTTTAACTCATAAATTATTAACTCATGATGTAGATACAGTGTTCAATGGTATTTAGCACCCCTACATGTACAGAAAATGGTGCTGTTTCTTTTGCAAAGAAGTACCAAAGTTTTTACTGTGAATCTAGGCAAACTGTTTGTAGCATCTCTGGAAAATGCTGTTATGGTAAGAAAAATATCAAACAGTAAGAAATGTATTAAAATGTGTTCAACATCACATAAATAAAATAACTAAAATAAGAAAGAATCTATTTTATTACAGTTGCTGAGCACCGCATTTTCATATTTTACTGTCCTTTACTCTACGCAGCGTTAACATGATACACATCAATTTAAAATACAATTATAATAGTAAATTATAGTTAATAGTTAATAAAAGCTAATAAATCGTTAAAAAGTAAATTGCAAATGGTTTGATTTCAAAATAATATTTTGCTATATATAGTATAATACACTATTAAATATAATACACTATATAAATATAAATATATAAATATATAAATATAAATATATAAATATAAATATAATACACTATATTAAATTGGGCAATCAAATTAAACAATTTTTGTTAGAGTTTAAATTAAAAGAAATTAGTTTTGAAATATCTAAAAGACAGTTTAGAAAACTTAGCAAGAGACAAAGCAAGTGATCCGACTTTAAATTACCGTCAAATGTATCTTGATGCTCGCAGAAAGATGTAGTTCATAAACTTTATGCATAAGCCATAATCAAATTTTATTACTCGTGGTTAGCCTATGGCCTTGTAAGCAATCTAAACTTGTTCAATTTTAATTACCAATATATTTTGCTATTTTAATTTCTTTTATTGTATTTCAGGTATGTTAATATTCCAAAATATATGATAACGTAATAAATACAATAATAATGTTTTTCAGCAATTCTTCATTTTGCGATTAAATATTAATAATTAAAGACTGCAAATTATTATTAAAAAATAGCGTATAATTGAAATATAACTGCAACATATAAAAATATAATATACCACAAATACGATAATATGAAATTATAATTATATATAAACTATTCGCGAAAATTTTATATGTTAATGATTTAGAACACACAATTTTCTAAACAGTAACAATATGACATGCTAACAGTTTGATACATATTATTAAATAAAATTATATCTTGTAGCTCGCATTATTTCTGACTTCAAAATGCTTTACAGATCTCATCATCCGCGTTCTCCATCTTTTTTCTTAAAAGTAACTATGTGTTTTCTTTATACCAATTGATTCGTCTCATTATTTTATACATAAAAGTATTAAGGTAAAATTCCCAAAAATTGAATGTTTTACAAGATATTTTGTATTTTATGTCAAAATACTGTAATTTACAAGCCTCATAACTCGAAAAGTACTTAATGAAAAATGACTTCATGATAGTGTTTTGAAAAGCTGTTGACACCAGCTATTAGATTTTGGAATCAAAAATAGGAGTTTCCATTTAAAAAAATAACTCTGACCTTCAAATAACCTTGAAAAATTGACTTCAAAGGTCAAAGTCACTAGCATAAATAGGTGACCCCCATTGTCCTGAACAACTTTTGTCTAAACCATTTTTCTGTATTTGGCTTACTTACGGAGTTATTTG